CTCCGGCTTTGCCGGCTCTTTGGATCGTCTAAGGGTAGGGGACGCCCTATCCGGGAGTTGAACAGTCAAATCAGGCATGCATGGAGAACGAATGTAATTGTCGACTTACTCTTGTGTTTGTCAGGGACCAGACTGCATTCTTTCTTTCTCTGCACGCAGAGGTAGCAGCGCCCCAGTTCAGTTCAAACGCGTTTGATACACTTGTCCACAAAGCTGTTGTCCCCTTTTTTCTTTGCACATGCAATGCATGATGAGCAGGCTATTGAATTGCCTGCTTCATTGTGCGCTTTTAATGGGTTCTCATCATGGCAAGTACCAGAAGTTTGAGCATGTGACAAATCATCGACATCTGTTGCCGCCTGTTGATCATCTGACTCCTGCGGATAACTGCCAAGCGACTCAACTTCACCGGCCTTCAAGCTATGAGCGAGTGCGTCGTTGTCGGTCCTTACTATTTGAGTACCTTGTTTCGGTCCTGTGGTTTATGAGATCAGCTTAGACACTGTACTCGCATCATCGCCGACCGCAATCTTACTGGTGAAACTACAGCCTTGCCGCGCCGTGGAGCATGGGTTGCATCGCCCGTTGACAGTCCTTTTGCCTTCAGTGCACCGTTTCAAGAGGCGCTCGGTGACCGTTAACCTTCGCGTATCTTTTATCCTTTGACAACACTGGGTACATAATTTGCCTTCTCCGTCTTTCGGGTCGTCGCGAGTGTTTCCATCAGGCGGCACGGGCAAGATTGAAGTGGCTGGAAATTCGAACGTATCCGCGAAGCTAGTCAATGACATGTCAACGTGGCTCTCACTTCGGGGCTCCTCTACGCTCGTCTGCGCTTCTTGGGTCTTGGCCATGAGAGACGCCGGTGATGGACTTGCTGATTCGCCGCCACTCGCATGTGCTTGAGATGCGAGCGGCTCTGGTGCATCTGCCTTCACATCAAGCTGTACAAGTTCACGCCACCAGTTCGGGTCGTCTACGTCCGTTAGGTGCGTGGCGCCTGTTACAGGCGTAGTATGGACTTCCTCTTCCCCGACACTGTCCTCTCTGTTCTTCATTACGCGAATGATGAAGTAGTTCCCGGAAAGCGAGACTTGTTGATCATTGGGTCGAAGATACGGTACACTACCTTCGAATTCTCTACCGGCAAATCCGTCACGAGATAACGCGTCGTGAGAATCAGAGTATAATATACTTTCAACTGGCCATTCGATCCCGTCGTTACCCATCGGAGAACGCACGCTAGGCCGTGTGCCAACCGGCGCAGAAGGATTTTGTGACGCTGTTGATAGCTCACTGGGATTCACGCTCATTCGTTGTGAGAAGCTGCACGGGTCGTCGTCTGCGATGATTCTCTCACAGTTCGGCTTCATTTCATCATGTATGGCAGTGGAAGAAGAGGTTGACAGATCCGCCGCGGGCCAATCGAACATGGGATAGCCAGCATCGAGAAGGTGCATTAGCCTTTCCGCTGTCTGCCTTGTGTCATCGGTTGCTGGTTGTGACGACACCATTGTTCCCGCGATGTTCTTCTCGTGCGGATCTCCCTAGCTATCTCCCTTGATATCAGAGGTAGAGAAACAAGGCCTTGTAGAAGTGGTCTCCCCACCAGGCGATGAGTGCCAATCAGATAGAGTGTAGTCCATCGTTCTGTGTCGTTCTTTGTTGGTTTGTATGGGTTACTGGGTTTAATGCGAAGTAATCTGTTTCCTCTTATATATGGTACCTATAATTGCGGAGCGACTTCAGGATGAAAAACGAAATCACGAAGAACGATACACCGGTTGCGTTGTGAATTCAAAGGTATATTCGGTACAGTCTCTTATTGATATACTCCCGTCCCTCATCATCTGCCCCTGAATACTTGGCTTTTTTGGGAAGAGACAAAGGATGACATCCAGCAAAACAGTTCTTGCTGTTTGATCACCCTCATCGAGACCATAGTGTGGCGAGTGATATCAGGACCTGCCAAGGGGACCGTACATCGCAAGTATGGATAGTTCAAGTACCTCAAGAAGGCAATCTCCCGCACCTTGCACGCCCTGAAGACCAAACGCCCGCAGATACGGCAAATACGCGGAATCTCGCTCGTTGTTTTCTCTCGACCGCTTTTCCTTTTGGGAGGGTGGCATTGGTTGCTGAGTATCCTAGAAGTATAGGTGAGTATGAATGTGTGCAGAAAGAAGGAACGTGTAGGACTCGTAGGCCTGATACTGCGCTTAGTAGTGGAGAACGGAGCGATCTTCTTCGTTGCCAACTGCAAGTCCTGTTGCTGGTTCCCCTTACAGCCTGATTTGTCATCGGCAAATGGGTTGGATAGTAGCATGTTCAATATGCCTAGGGCCTAAGTTTAACAGAGATTCCGCAATAATGTGGAGGACTTGCCGATACAATGTGAATACACGGCATGTCACTCGCAAAGAACGAATGTGTTAGGCGAGTGTCCATGTCATTCTTGTTCGATACTCTTTAAATCCATTTACATACAGTTTCATCACATGTTACCATTACACTTCAGTCTCCTCTTACATGCCCTCGTCCACATCTCGGTAGAAAGCCCGAGTGGCCCATGTGCGCGGCCCTGACGATGTAAAGCTGTTGGTCGATCCATACCTCCGCTACCTCCTCTCACCCTTCTGGCGAACATTGCGACTGGCTCTCCTTTAACACATCTCAGCACCTGTTTCCCACTTTGACTCTGGTCTCTCTGTCAAATCATCATGTTGATGATCTCTGGTCTCGAAGACGTTCCTCTTGTTTTCCCACGCTCTCAGCTTTTCCCCATGTGTTTGCCTGAAATCGCATGCAACGTTGTGTGAGGTCAAGATAGCACAAAGGTAAAGCTTCGGCTTGTGCTCACATTTCTCTCCTCCACACTTAATTTTCCTTAGATGGCAGTATGTACATGCCATCCCGTCCCCCAACCTTGAGAGGTGGCTCTTAATTGTCCCGCCGCTGGCACGACGGGCTGCGGCCCTCTTCTGTCTTCTTGTCGCCGCCGAGCGGTTTCTAGGCTTGAGACTGTGGCCGGTGTATCCACCTCCATTATCCGTGACCTACACGACAAGCATACCATGAGTCCGAATGATTAATGACTTAGATCTTGATCGACACTTACGAGCGCATGCCATGGCTGGCACTTGGTTTTGCTCTTCTTGCAACTTTCACATACCGTCCCATCTCGCATTCGTTGGACGCCACCAATCATCGGGCCAACTTGCCGAACCGCTTTTCCCCTCGACCGCGTTTGTGGAATCGAATTTCCTGTGGTAGCTATGGCATCGGACATAGTGGAAGAAGGTGCAGCAGACTTGGGTAAAGAGGCTGCATGTGCAGCTGATGAATCTTTTAGAGCTTGCCTCAAGGCCCTTTCCTCTGCTCTCCAGCGCCAGCCTCCGGTCTTCCCTGGACTTGGCGGACTGTTACTTACCTGTGACTTCACGCTCATCGGGCTTATCAAGGAGATACCCTGGCTGTCGGGCGTCTCTCGAGAGCTGTCCAGAGGATGTTTCGCATCAGTCACTTTTGAAAGGATGGTAATGGGCGACTGAGGGATATTGAGGAATGTACCCTCGTCCCCCGTTTCTTTATGCATAGGGGGATTGCTCTCCTTTTCAGTTGCGCGAGGCCTATCTTCAGATTCTTTGAAAAACTCGTCCAAAATCGACAGACCGAATGCAAGGCAGGCTTCTTCGTCGTCAGGGTCGGATGAGTCTTTGTTTGACGAACTTCCTACGGTGTTCAAAGTTGCAAGCATGTCTGGACTTTGCTGGCGAGTGCTGAAGTACATGCTGTCGGCAACTTCTGGCTTGTCAGTCAGTGCCGCATCCCAAAATGCATCAGATTCATCGACCTCTCCTGATTTGAACAGGCTTGAATAGCTCCGGAAATCAGGCGGGACGTCCTCGTCTTGCAGACCTGGTGATTCCTTCGTAGAGCCCTCAGCGACTTCCATTCTATCTTTTGTGTGACCCGAAGATCGAAGCAGAAATCAGATACTCTTCTTTGAAATAGTTTGCAGTGTAGCATATTGGTATACGTGACCAAACTTTGACATTCTCGACATATATGGTCTCACGCAGATTTTCTGCTGACCCTGCATACAAGATGACCGTTCGCGTTTCGCCATTCCCCTACGGAAATCTTCGTAACAAAGGACTGCTATCCAACGATCGCATAGCCCCCACCTACCTATGAAACATAGATCAAGGCTCTTCAATGTCGCTGCTCCTGGTATAACAGCCTTTCGGTTCACCTGGTGACTTGGAAATGCAAAAGTATGCGACGGGGAGGAGGGGCGGAGGGGATGCACGTGTTCTGTAGGTCTCACCAGCGAAAACAGTCAAAGAGTTTCCTTACTTTTCAGTACCATAGGAATTCAAGATGCAAATTGAGGAAAGCTGGTTTGAAAGGATTCAACAAGGATCCCGCCGAGTCGAGTAGTCTAAACGCCCCATCAAGGGCACTTTGATTATGTCGTTTTTTCCGGTACAGAAGAGTGCAAAGGACGCACAGCTTTCGCTCCTCCTTCTTCTGAAAAGCAACATAGCGGCCAAGACACAGACCATACCAAAATCAAGCAGCAAGCTTTGGCGTGAATATGAGAGTTTGGTAGCAGATTTTCACATGGAAAGGAAAAGTACAGCTGCTGGTTTCAGCCTACTTACAGCACAGCCCTTTGACGGATATAAGATTGGTCATCTGAGAACCTCAGTAGAAGGTATCTCTGGAGTCGGTCGCACTCGGGGAGACTAAGTGTAGCCAGTCGCAGAACAGATAGTCACTGTCAGACTGTTCACACTCCTCACCGTATAACGTGGATACCCGGCCAGTGGTTCCAAGCTGGTGACTCCGACGGAAAGTCGAGCACGACGAAAGTACAGGCAGGCTGTTAAACGAGTGCTACCAGTACATGACAAGTAGAAAGCCTGACAGAACCCCGAAAAGCTGTCACCGAGCGGCAGAATATAGTTATTGCTGCCGAAAACGATGCATCAACTGCCTGCGTTGCACAGTGGTAGTGCGTGTCTTTCCTATCAACTCCTCGTCACGGGATTTCAGAAAGGACAAGGTCGTGGGTTCGATCCCCACCGTGGGTTTTCTTTTTGTCTTTCTAGTTGACCCGCGACCTCCGGGCTATCGTCTCCATGTGTTTTGAGCCCGGTTTGAGCGTTTGAGCGTACTTGGGCGACGATACATCTGGAAAATTCAAGCTCTCGAGATTTTTTCTGCCTAGACGGTGACTCAGTCGCGTTCAGTCAAGTGGGTTTCCATTTAGCATCCGCGTCTCGCGCGCCGTAGCCTGATATCGCAAATAGGAGTCGCGGAGTTGCCGGGTCCATTATCTGTGGGGCATATCCTTTTATTGACCGGTTCGTCCGTGTCCGACTGGAGCAGATCACTAGCAGATCTCGTGCGGCCATTATCAGATCCGACGACCATGCCGGTGCCGGGCGGTGTGCGATGAAGTCTCGACATATAAGACCCACGCCATGCTTCACGTGAATCAACGACCGTGGACATGAGCCAACACCGCCAACACCACACCTACAACCTAGATTCCAACCTATCTCACAATGGCTCCTCCTCCCTCCGCTGAAATCCCTGCCGACAGCAAGATGCACACCGCACCTGCTCATCCTCGACGACTCGTAACCTCGCACAACGAAAAGGGAGAAGCGACTTTCTGGCTAGAAGGCGAGATCCCGAGTACAAGCTTTTACAAGGGTGAAGAGGAGTGCGCCGTCTTCCATGTAAGTCAACCGCTTGTCGTCTCTTCTGCAGGTGTACTGATGATGGACTCAACTGCAGGTGCCATGGACGACACAGGGATTCCCTGTACCAATCCAAGATACGGAAGACAAGGCATACACCAAGAATTCCTCGACTCTAGCAACAAAGGACGGCATTGTCTGCCGATTCGTTGATTTCCCGCCAAAGACCTACTCGCCGATGCACCGGACTGTTTCGCTAGACTACGGAGTCGTCATTTTCGGTGACCTAGAGATGGAGGTAGACAATGGAGAACTCAGGAAGATGACTCAGTCGGACGTTGTTGTCCAGCGTGGAACGTGAGTGCAATGTCTGGCGAGTCGTTGAGACATTGCTGACCTGTTCCTTCTACAGCATTCATAAATGGTGGAACAAGTCGGACAAGTGGGCCAGGATGATGTTCATCTTGATCGCATCTGAGCCTGTCCAGATTGACGGCAAGACCCTCGAAGGCAACATGTAATCGCACGCGAATGGCGGATAACACAATTATGGTTAGACACAGTTTATGAAATCACGCATTGACAATGAGTATGAGTAAAATGCAGTACCACGCCTGGAGCTGAAGTTCTCAGAAACACATGCAAGTTAGCAAGATCCTTTCGAGCCTTAGAACACCCGTGATTGCTCGTGCTACTGTCACATTTGTTTCGTTTCTCTGAAGAATGACGGTTCCTACGCGATGCAAAGAACTATACAACCCTGCCCTTCTACAGCTTCCTAACTCCCGCCACATCCCCTGCTCCAGCGATATCCTGATGGGCAAATTCGCGCACCTGACCCAACTTCAAGCTTGCCAACCCATCGACAATATTATGAATCGTCGGCAGCTTTTCCCATGCATGTCGAGTCACTTGTAACCTACAATCCTGTATCGAACCGGTAGGCGCAGAGTATTTTGTGATACTGCGTTGAAAAGCGACAAGTCAGCATGAAGGCGCAAAGCATTGTGAGCGGCACTTACGGCGGTTTCTTGCTGCCTGCTCCGGGCACGAAGATCGGATACGATGCGTCGTGCTTTCCTGGCTGCCCGACCGTGGGAACGTAACGGTGATGCAAAAGGCCTTCAACGGATGCTATGAATGCCTTAGAAACAGGTCAGCGACTTGACAAGGTCCTCGTAGCGGAGTTGACGTACGCATGGTATAAGGCCTTTCCCTCATAGAAGGTGATTCCGCTACAGGCCGTTCTTGTACGTTGGGTACAGAAAGCCTACCATGAGAGAAGAATACGCATCAGTTGGGTGTGATACATGAGAACAGCACTGGGGCTTACCGCATGAACTCGGTTCCAAGCCAGGACTACGGAGAAGTAGAACAGAAATGAGCCTTTTAGGGAACATGCGAAGGCTGTGACAAGGAGGCGTACAGCAGTATGAACCAAGTGCCCATCTTGCGTTATCGGATCAGGAAGTTCCGCCCATACCTTTCTGTTGGGCGCAACATGCAATGAGCCCCAGCTTCGACCTCCTTGACACCCCGCGATACTCACGGGAACCCAAGTTCTTCACGACCTGTCACGATTGGATCGCAAAAGTTCTCAAAGAGGACGAGCAGATACGACGCCTTGACTGGCTGGGCGCTGATCTTGCAGACAACGTCATTCAGGTACACACCCCATGTGTTATACCCTGTTATGGAGGATTGAAGGGATCAGGAATGGGAGACGAGTGAACGAAAAGAATGCGCACCTCGACCCGCAAGCCATGGTAGATTCCGGAGATTCATCACTTCGAATAGGACAGTCGGCTGTTCGGTTTCTGAAGCGATCTCATAGCCGTCAGGAAGAAGAGCCTGTGCAGATGCCCTATCACAGTCGTACACAACACCTTGCGTTCGGAGGATGTTCAGCACACGCAACGACTTTCGCATCTATCCAGCTTACTCGTCAATTGGACTTTCGTCTCATTCCAAGTGGTGAACCGCTTTTCATCTGGTCCTTGTCTGCAAACATGTTTACAGTAAGAAAGGAGAAGCACGATGAGGGTGAGCATCTCGGGACACCTACGCACCTGGGACTGGGAGATGGTCCAAAGCCAACTGGTTGCCGGTAGTATGAGCTGGTGTCGTCAAACATTTTCGACCGAGTTGTGAATGTCGAGTGATATCCCTAACTTGTATTAAGAAACCAAGCTAGTTGGAGATGTGAGGCGGATGTTGGAGTTCGTCAGAGAAGCTGTCAGAGACTTAGTCGTCAGGGCCATTTGTTTACCGAATGAAGTAGCGAACAAGGCTCTGGGCCCCGTGCATGAACCGTTGTTCATTCTGTCGGGATAGCCTATGGTGTCAACACCCCCGCAGTCTTGTCTGCAGTATCGGTAACCTCATGAGCGTGTGTCCGTAAACATCACCGACCGCCCTTTGACATGCCGCATATGTCTCAGCGGAGGTCTCGATTGACGCAAGGCGCGAGCGCGGAGTCCTGGGAAATAGCAACGGAATAGAATTCGTTCATTCTTCATGACTTTGAAATTCTGACAGATGTCGACCGATTCTCGTGGACGACAGCGATAATTACAGCGATATCATTGCGATGACTTGAGCAAGCTCTCGAGCTTTCTCCGAACATTATTTACAACACCTACTGTATGACCGAGGGTATCTTCGTGGATGGAGACCCCGCTCATCATTCTGCAAGATAGAGCCCCGTGGAGATATTTGTATGTTTGCTTCCATACGGCCGATACCGATGATATCTGTCCAGCAATGACATCTGACCTGAACTTCCATTAAGTCCCTTCGTACCGGACTCTTCTGCGAATATATAACTCACCTACATCTGTACAGTCCCAACGAAGATGTAGAAGTTGACGGTCCCTCCAGTCGGTCCAACTGGCACGTCAACATCATGCCCGCCGTCCAGCATAACCCTATCGCTTGGCCTATTTTGTCTGGGCAGTTCAGCATCTACTGGATCTCCGTGGCATTGCTTTCATGCTACATTATCGTGCGGCTCGTACAAGTAAGCCTTGACGGCTGTTCTCAAGCATGAACATAGCTCATCATCAGTTCTGTTATAGGCTTTGGCTACAGCGTTCTTCTCCCCTCTAGCCAAAGTCCCCGGTCCACTTCTTAATAGTCTCACCGAATGGCCATTGAAATTGCAAACGCTGCAAGGCCGGCGCATCTACTATGTAGACGACCTGCACAAGCGTTATGGTAAGCCAGTCGAAATTCGTCTTACTAACGTAACGTAACGATGACTTACGCACAATCTCGTTGCTAGGTCCCATCGTGCGAATTGGTCCCAACGAACTCGCCGTCAACGAACTCTCATCCGTAAAAGAGGTGCATAGAATCGGTTCAGGTTTCGGGAAATCCGAATGGTACCCCATCATTTCTGGGGAATCCCCAGCCAACGCAGGCATCTTTTCACAGCGAGATCCCAAGAAGCACGCTATCCGACGTAAACTGTTCTCCCAGCCCTTCTCCAAAGCCGGGATCCAGGAATGGGAGGAAATGTTGAAACAAAAAGTAAACATGGCGGTTGCAGGGATGGGACAGATGGCAGCGCGAGGCGGGGGTGTGGCGGATGTACTGGAATGGTGGACGTTTATGACGACTGATGTGATTGCTGAACTTGGGTTTGGCGAGAACTTTCATGTGCTCGAGATGGGAAAGGTAAGCAGCGCATGCCAGGCGGATCTGTACCTCTCGCTAATCTCTTCCTGGTCGTTTAGCCCTCACAATACACCAAGGATCTGCTCAAGACTTTTATCTTATCCGGCCTACGAGCCGACTTCCCCTTCCTCTTCAACCTCGCCAAATACCTTCCCATTCCGCCGCTCCAACATGCCGTCGGCGCATTCCGTAGACTGGAAGTGTACGGGGAGGAAGCGATTGCCAAGTACCGACACATGGAAAAAAATGGCGGATGTCGCAAGACTCTATTTACCAACATGGCAGAGGGCGCGATAGATGACAAGGCGATAGCACGGGAAGCCCAGAACTTGATTATCGCTGGTACGGATACGACCTCTGTGACGCTCACATACCTCGTTTGGGCCGTCGCGAGCCACCCGGATGTAAAGGCGAAGCTGCTCGAAGAGATGCGACAGAAGATCCATTCCGATACGTTTGGAACAGCGGATACCGAGGAATTGCCGTATCTTCAAGCGGTCATTCAAGAGACTTTGAGGCTATACGGTGCAGCTCCTGGTGGACTACCGCGAGTCGCTCCAACCGGCGGACGAGTATTGAGCGAGATCTTTGTCCCGGAAGGAACGGTGGTCACGACGCAGGCTTATTCGCTGCACAGGGACGCCGATATATACGCCGATCCTCATAGGTAGGCGCACAAACGTTCCTGGCCGGCCAAGATTGGTAGC